AAGGATTCCATGAAATGGGTCCATGTACAGGTGTCTTGTTGTGAATATTTGGGTACTGATATGTAAGAAGGATGAAAGTTTGGACGTATAGATTATTACATTTGGTATGGATTAAGAGTTAGTGATAGGAGATTAAAGATCCAGTCAGATAATTCTATATTGTACAGGCTTCACTCTATCTTTAGGTTTTTCAAGTAAACAAAGTAATGTTCATGCTAAAGAATTATGACTTTAATGGACTGGGGATTTAGCTCAGTGGTTCCGCCACCTGCCTCATAAGCGCAAGGTCCGGAATTTGATCCCCGGTACCAAAACAAAAACAAAAACAAAAAAACAAAAAATAAAAAAAGAATTATGTCTTAAGAAGACCCAGATAAATAACTCAGGAGCAGAGTTAAAGTAAATTTCTTTTTCTCATTATTCTGAAATAAAGCAACAATTATGCTACCTATGATGACTGAATATAACTTATCTTTAGAGATGAATTCTTCCAGCCACTAACCTAAACTCGTCATTCTGGTTAAATCTTCCTTTTTCCATCTGAGTAATATGAAAAAAAATGACAATGGCTCTTTCAGTATTCCTTTAGATTTTATGTTCCATGTTTGGAAAGTTCCTGCGTATAAATGAAAAGAAGGAAAATAAATGGTCTGGTAACAATAATTTCAGTCGCAGTTAGTAAAATTGTAATTCAGCAGGTATCAAACAGATAAATGTAAATTGTGTCATCTGAAAAACTGAGTTATGGGCTGGGGATTTAGCTCAGTGGTTTGGCCGCCTGCCTCACAAGTGCAGGGTCCCGAATTCAATCCCCGGTACCAAAAAAGAGAGTTAAATAATTGATAGAAAGTCAGATTTAATAAGAATTTCTGCATGAAAAGTTCTACAAGTAGGCCTGCACTAGTTTCATATGTGAATCCCCATTTAAAAACACCTGTCAGCACCTACTGAAACTTGGAGTTCTTTTTTTTGGTACTGGGGATCGAACTCAGATCCTTCCACTTGCGCAGCAGGCGGCGAAACCACTGAGCTAAATCCCCAGAGTTCTTTTAATACCCCCAGGATGTGTTTTCTGTTTAGAACTGGAAGCCAGTTGTCATACATCATTTTTCATCATTAGCCCTTTGGTCTGGTCTTGTTTGGAGAAGCTGATGTCCCCTGACGTGCAAACTGCTAGTACCATCAGGAGAAACAGAGCTTCACTCCACTGATGACGTCTCTTTGCTCTGGTCTGGCTGTCTGATCATTCTTGCTGCATAGGAGGCACTGTAGTTTTGCTCCAAAGAAGTGTCTAACGATGTGGGAAACTAGGTCACAAAGCTGTTCCTTCGGCTGCAGTAACAAGTCTGAGGTCGAGCTTTGAGGCACATGCACTGGCATGCTGCCCTCCTTCACACCTTTCAGGCCTAATGGCAGTGTGACACTGTTGCGAATGAGCGCTCTTAGGGTGACATCATTTCTCCATCTGCCCTTGTCCGTGTTGCCTGAGCCAGGTTCCTAGCTGAGATGCAAGGCCTGTTCCCGTCAGCAGCCTCCCGAAGCTTTGCTGCAGCCTCAACTGCTCGGGAAGCAGGAGAAAGAGACCTCATTTCTGAACAAAAATTTGAAGCACCATTTATCAATCAAATGTTATCAGATACTCCCTATGTGACTGGTTACACAGATCCTTAAGCTTTTAAAATTTTCTGGGCTGGGGCTTGCTGTTATTTTGTACTTTTAGATTCCAGATTACTGTGTTTAGTCAGACTAAATAATTAAGAATAAAAACCTGGTTTTGCCTTTACCATTCCCTTCAGCCAGGTTCAAGTAATTTTTTGTTCTCTTCTACAAATAGCTCTTATTAGGATCTGTTGTATTATTTTCGGGAGCAATTTTAGACTTACAGTAAGGAAAGCTTGCATGTGTGCTTTGGCCATTTTTTCCAGGACTGATTTTCTTTATTTCATAAAGCTATCACACACTCAGAGTAATGGTGCTAATCATTTTAAGCAATTGCTTGTTACACCTGGGTTGGGTCAAATGAAGATCCAAGTCACGAGAACTCTTGGTGTCCCTGGTGTCTAATATATCACAGAATCAGAGATTGGACTTGATGAGAAGAGAACAGGACCCGCAGCTACTGCAATAATGGGCTATCGATATTTTAGCTTCTTCTCTCTTTATGTTTTATTCCTCCCTGAACCTGTTCTAGCTTAGGTGTTTGCTAATTCTGTCTCTGACTTATAGCTCATAAATGTCTTGTATTCAGAAATGAAAAGCATCATTTGATTTAATTTTGGCAGATTGTTGTAGTAGTTATCCTGCCAAAATGTCAGTTTCTCAAATATTTTATTATAGCATCTAAACGATCAAGAGTGGTTCCTCTACTAATTGGACCTGGTGACGAGCCAAGTAAATGCCCACCTTTTGCTTGTTGTCCGGTCAGGAAGTAAGAAGGTCTCTTTTACCTGACTGGAGCCCCACCGGCACTCAGAGTATCTGTGAAAATTACAGCAATGTGCCCACTCTGGGAGATGGATTCCAAAGTGGCACTCTCTGGACAAAGCAAGTAGGAAGGAAGGCCTCCTCCAGAGGGCTTTGGCCTCTTGCTGGCTCAGTGGGACCTGGTGGCAGCCCCCGTGTGCCCTTGGCTGTATGCGGTCAACCTGGCCACGGCCCACACGGCCATCATGGTGGCCTTGAGCCTGCCACAGGAAGGCAGGAAACAGCGTGCCCTGTTGCCTCTGTCCTTCCTGACTTCAAACTCCTGGGGTTTTGGATTTAACTGTTTGGTTTAATGGAATTAATCCACTTTGATGGTGGTGATACGTGAGAACAGGGAGTCAGAATTCCTGTTTGATTCTAGGATAAACAGAGGGTAAGGCTGGTGGCATTTCAGTACAGCTTTCTTCTTCTAGCATGAAATGTTATTTAGTAAAGAGTCTTCCATTAAAGAATAAACCCATTCCTTGGACAATTACCTGAAGAATCTCTTGGAGAGATTTAGTCATGTAAAAGAATTTATTTGAAAAATATATTGTGGTTTTATTAGCAAATGACTGCTTCTGTGGCTAAAGGGACTATACACACAGTGTCAGAGAAACATAACTATGTATATAATTTCATCGTATATTTATACATATTTCATACTCATTATAGTATTTAGATATTTCATATTAATTATATATATTTATATATATGACATTTTTCTAATGTGTCATTTTTATTGTATGTTAATACAGACGCTCCTCATTTAATGACAGAGTTGCATTCCTTCTACTAGGTTGTTAAATGAATTGGTCACCGAATAGGAAATTGTATACAGTGTGTATATTACAGTATTCAGAAGAAAGAAATGATCAAAGGAAACTCCAAATTGTTGATTTGATTTTATTTGCATAATTTTTACATGCAGCACTGTAATGTACAACAGAATATAAATCTACACTACTGTACTAAACATACAATCAGCAAAATTACAGTACTGTATAAACAAGGTATACTGTACAAAAAAAGACATTGAGGCTCTATAAATAAGTGGTACAGGACTGTACAAAAAAAAAAAAAAGAGATCTGAGTGGAGGTTGGTAATTCCAAAATGTGCCTCGGTCATAAGGTATAGCAGGTATTAAACAAGTAGGTCATTAAACAACGTATTAGACATCATGTTATCAAAATAGTTTAATGAAAATACTTTGCTTTTCTTAAGAACATATGCTTTCCAATAACCTTTAAAATAAAATACAGCAGTCACCAATGAATCTGCACAACAGCTGGGTTCAGGCCATACTGATCCCTCATATGTTAGAAAAAGCAGGGATGAAAATTATTAAGAAAACCCAAGATGTCTTATGATATAGACAGTGCTCATCAATAATCATGACTGTGAAACAGATGCAATCCCGATATAATCTTTAGCAAATCAATAACATGTCTATTCTACATTTCCTCACTGCCCTTTCCGTGCATCAAACTTAGCAGCTTCTGTGAATTCTTCAAGGTTATACTGATCACACCGTTGATACTGCTGGAAGCTGTATTAGGAATGTGCAATTTTGGCTCATGAATGAAGGAGCTTTTGCAAGTCATTGTGAGGGACCAATGAAACTGAAATACTACTAATAAGATGTCACAGAACCGTGAACCTGCCTGACTGTGAAAATCACTGGAAATCCCAAATATCCTTGACAATGAAACTGGAATCAGAGAAGCTCTACTGCTCTTTCCACCTCTGCAGTAAATACTTTGGAGGATAGAAAGAAAAATAAAGTCCGTAGTAAAAGAGCTTACCAGCAGGAGTGTGAGCCAAAAATAAAACACAAAACAAATATGACATTAGCTTACTTTTCCTCAATATCAGACATTATATAAATCATGCATATTTTGTAGACATTTGTCTTTTCATGAATACTCTGCTTATTTGTACAACATGCTTAGTGAACATGCCTAAAATACAACAGGCTACAGATACTCCTCATTTAATTACTGACCTCATTTCCCTCCGCTAGGTCATTAAACATTGGTCGGTAAATGAGTTATATGTAATATGTACATTATAATCAGAGCAAAGAAATGCTCCCAGGAAACTCCAACTTGATGACTTTGCTTTATTTGTGTAACTCTCACATGCCGTACTGTAATGCATAACAACATAAAACTGTAGTACTGTGCAGTGCAATCAACAAAAATTACAGTACTGTATAAACCATGAGCAGTGTACAAAAAAGGACATTGAGGCTCCATAACCAAGATGTACAGAACAATAAAGAACCAAAAGACGAATTGTAAGTCTGGCCAGTGTGCCTCAGTGACAAGTCTGAACAGTCGTTAAACAGGTCATTAAACTAGGAGTATCTGATATAATTCTACCAAAGTAACCATTATGTTTGCTGCTCTACAGTGTCAGAAGCTGCTACCTTGCCATGAAAAAAGTTTTATATCTCCCCTCTCTGTATGTACAAGAACAGGAAAGGAACGAACAGTAGAGCTGAAGGCTTTCTTCTTTCCTTTTTTTCTTCCAGGTGATGTATTCCACGTTACTGCTCCCAACAAGTTCACCTTCCAGGAGGCTTCGGAAGCGTGTGAAGTGCAGGATGCCCGCCTGGCGACAGTGGGGGAGCTGCACGCGGCCTGGAGGGATGGCTTCGACCAGTGTGACTACGGGTGGCTGCTGGACGCCAGTGTGCGCCACCCGGTGACTGTGGCCAGGGCCCAGTGTGGAGGTGGTCTACTTGGGGTGAGAACCCTGTATCGTTTTGAGAACCAGACAGGCTTCCCTCCCCCTGATAGCAGATTTGATGCCTACTGCTTTAAACGTAAGTGTTTGATATCTTTTTTAAAATTACAGATTTAAAAAAACACATACTCCAAAGGCATGCACTGGTGTTCAACTATCCATGGGAATGGAGTCCAGGGCTTAAGCGTGTGCACACGGAACGGGAAGGGTTCAGGGACATCCCAGAGTAGGCAGACTGCATGGCAGGGAGGTGCTTAAAGCAACGGGAAGCCTAGCAAATGGTTTTGTAGAGGGGGTGGGGAAATGTCAGGTCCTGGTCTTCACTCAGAATCACAGAGCAGATTCTGAATAGTTGCTTTATATTAGTGGCAGTCCTTACATGCGGTTTATTGTTGGTACTATGATACTGAGGCTGAGAGTGGCTGACTGAAATCCTTGAATACTGGTTATTTTGTCTTTTTGATATCACTCTTTTAAATGGTGGAGAAGGTAAATTTCAGTGATTGCAGGTAAGTATTTGGAATTGCCGTGGGCATTCATACTGTCCAATTCCTACCTAATGATGAACCACCATATTGATAAAAATGTTCATGTACCTCATTTTATTTTAAGTACTGGAATATGTGCCTTTTAATAATTAATTCTATATTGAATTAATTTGAGTACACTATGGTTCTCTTTGCAACGTGTAGCATAGAGTATCTTCTTTAAACTTAGCACTTAAAAAGTTTTAAGTAACATTTTTCAACATTTATGATATCATTAAGTTTTAAGTTGTCCTTAAATCATTTTACCAGTATTAGCTGCATGATGTAGTATCGTGATTATAAAGGCTTAAAACAAGCAAGTAATCTAGAGTCTGACTGTAGTAGTTACCATAGGCTCAATATTATGCTAAACAAGAAACATTCAATGTTTTGGTGACGTTGCATATGTCCAACATAGATATTTTGAAATAGCATAAGGATTTTTGACTAAATGTCCCATACATCTTGTGGAAATATGTAACTAAAATGAGTGCAAGGTACATTGCCTATTGTCTACTTAGCTTCTAAAGTGAAATACACAGTGTTGTTATGTCAAAGTAGTCAGCGCAGTAGATGTTAGTGCAATGGAAAGATTTTATTTCTCACTTAGAATGCCTCTACTTGTGTCCCCTCCCTCAGACTCACTTCCTGAGTGTTAAAGTCCTGTTTTATGTATCAGCTCCACACACGCCAGCTGATCCATAATAGGCCAAAGAAAACTTTAGCTCTTATTCTCTGAAACAACAGTCTTCCCTAATCATTTTAAGGAAAAAAACAATAACTAAAACCGTATCCTAAGAGCACACAGATAGACATTTCTTTAAGCCACATTGTCACAATAGTAATTTTCAAGTAAGTCAGGCTCTGAAATCAGTTTTACATTAAGTGCAGGAAGAGATAAAGAACAAGAGCAGATTAATGTGTGGGAGGAAGGAGTTGGAGACACCAGAGTAGGGAAGGGCAGAATACCTAAGCTGACTCTCTTAATTATTTTTTCTGGTGCATTAGAAAACCTGCAGTAGAAAACTTTTAAACAACATGCCTTTTCTCCCTGAGGGTAAATTTAAAATCAAGGCCTATCTGTAGCTGCAAAGATTATTATTAAAAATTCAACCTGATGTGTTTTAAATTATTTATTCAAATGCAAAATTCACGTGAATCATAAAACAACAACCCACTAAAAATCTACTTAAAATACAAAAGAGGTTTGTAGATTTAGATCTGTTTATTTTTGCTAATTCATGAAATGCATAGAACTTGGAAATAGAATGGATTCATATTTTGGTGTTGTTCTACCTAAGTTTGAGTACCGATTTTGTTCATTCTTCCCTGCCTAAGACCTTATCTTATTCAGAATTGAGTCAGCACCTGAGAGGTTAAGAAAGTCCAGCCATGACATAAAAGCCTTCCTTAAACTATGCACAGTGCCAACAGCTTCCCAAATTTCTAACACATTTTGCAAGGGTTATTTTCATGTGCGTTTTCAAAATGACTACACTCTGGCCCACTTTTCCCACATAGGCCGGGAGTGACTAAATCCTGCAGGCCAGAGTTTATGAGCTGTGGCCCAGCCACAGTTCCAAAACTGGTTTCAATGATGAACAGCTGGCTGGTTAAGCAGAGGAATTTGGAAATGTATTCACATTTTCTCATTGGCTTTATCAATTACAGAAAGCGATTTTTTAAAGCCAGTTGGTGAATGAATGTTCCAAATTTTAGTTTGCAGTAATTCCTTTTTCCTAATAAACTCACTGAATAGCACATTTACAGTTACTGTTCATACAGATAGCTAGAACTTATTCTGGTTGTATAGATTTGATAAATAGGTAAATGAATAACCTTGTGAAATAGTTTTCCTATTTTCCCTTGATTAAACTAAACTGTATGCTTTTTATTTTTCTTTGGTCTCAGAATTAAGCAAGCTCTGAAAGTTAGAAAGCCATACAAGGCTTTGAATATACACACTATGTATCCCAAAATCTAGATCATTCTCATTCAAGAGTCATGAGAATCTTACTTTGCATATTCTTAATGACCCCAGGAACAAGAAACACGGGCATATTTCCTAGATGACCCATTCTAATATTTTACAGCTGTCACTCCCAGATAGTTTTAATTATCTAAGAGTTTGAACATTAGAATTTGAATCCATTTTTATGTTGAACACAAAATTTATAGCAGCCATTTGTGTTGAGTTGTTTAAATGCCACTCAACATTTCCAATGGAAACAATTGTCTTGTTTTAAAAGTTTAATTGAAACCTGTAATGATCACAGAATCTCTGTTTGAACCTTCGCTGCTTTTTACATCCCATTATTTGAGAAAGTTTGGAATGAGTAGAAATAGCAGTCTAGAGCTGGCTAAATCAGTTCCCTCTACTTCACATGTACTTACATATTTATCCACATTCAAGGTTGTCTTGCCCTTTTATCCATCTTACTTCATTATCTTTTTTTTGCTTGTTTTTTGCCTGAAATCATAATCAGCCCCTAGGTGACAAAGCTAAACTTTCCCTATCTTGTATTACAAATCTTTTTCTTTATTAAACTAGAATCAGTTGGCTTTTACTCAAAGCTTTTGAAAGATAGTTTGAATTCTAATCCCACTCTTCAACCTAGTCTCTTTCTTCAACTCTGAAAGAAGAGTCAACCTATTGAATATCCACTACACTTGCCACTTCTCTGCATGTTTACACTGATTTATGTATATCTCTTTTAATACAGAAGAACCAATTTAGAGGCAGTCCTTTTCCAAAATGTAGACGGTGTGAGGTATGAGTTAAATTGACTGTCATGTGCTAAGAGGGTTTTTACATTTTATTAGGAAAATCTGCCTCATGTCTCACAACAGAAGCTCAGAGAAGAGTCTATAGAATGTGCAATGCCATAAGTACAGTGATGTAAAACATCTGTGTGGCAGACAGCTGCAAAGGTTGGAAGGGAACTTTTGTGGGAAAAGATGCATTTCTGAGTTTTGCTGGCTTCCTCAATAACAGAGTTGAAGGAACACTGGTAGTTTTCCAAGACCCAAATGTGTGCATGGGAACACACCTTCTTGAAAGACCTTGTGGAATAACCCAGAGTTGCATTTTCATCTTTATGATGCTCATCTGTAGTACAGCCGTATTTATTCTTAAGATGTCTCTTTGTAGATGTTTATGCTTTTTTGGAAGAGCTGAAACAAATGGCAGAGGCCATCAGATACAGGGAGTTAAGATGGAAGTCAGCTGTTGGGTTGACACAAAAGCCACCCAACCCCAAAAGGAAGTCTGAGGTTTTTCATTCCAAGTCGTAGAATTAATTAACTTAACTGTAAACAGATTTTTAAAAGCTGGGCTCTAAAATTATTGAAAATCTTTTTTTTCTCCTGAAAACAAGGCCATATAAATCCTGGCTTTGGAAGGCAGATTCCCTGAGATATATCGCTATCGTTTTACCGTGCAGAAAGGCTAGAGGAAAGAGCACTGCAAGCTGTACAGTAATAATTGACAATGACATACATTTATTTAGTTTTTAAAATCTGAGTCCATTTTCAAAACACTCTAAAAATATTTTCATAGCGCTGTAGAGCAGAGAACTTGTCTTGGAACATAAGAAGACCTGATTCATAGGCCCTTTGTTTGGCCTTAATGTAGTATCACCTTAAGTTATTTCATCAGCCATGGAAATACTCAGGGGAAATAAGTAAAATTAGCCTTTTTGTTGTTATTAATAATAATATGATTAAATTTTCTGTAATATGCGTTTTTCTAAAAGTTTATATTATGTTTCCATGGGAGCTTTCTCTGTACATATTTTTTACTATTTCCCCAAAGAATGCAGTTCTAAGACAAACATGAAATTTGGCAGTGAAATGAGGTAACGGTGATGGAATTTCAGAGGATAGAGAATTGAATTAAAAGAAAAATAGTTGACCGCATTTTGAGTCTTTAAGTTGTTCTTGTCAGTCAAAGTAGACTAATGTCTCTTTCAAGAAATGAAGGCCAGTAAAGGGCTTTTCTTAAAAGAGGGGAGAGAAAGGTTATTTAACATGTTTTTTTTAAAGATCCCAGTGCTTTTGTTTAGTTTTAAAAGGGATACATAGTGATAGGCTTTAAAGAGTATTTCAGTGCACAATGATGCAATGACCACTGAGTTTTCATTATAAAGTTGATGAATCTAGGCTTTGAAATTGTCTGGGGAATAAGAACAGCATGCCAGACAAAAAGCAAGTTGCCTTACTCTGATTTACAGTACAATCACACCATTTTACCCTTAAGTTTTGACAGGACAAATGGAGTCAAAAGGTACCAAATTTTGTTTTTTAAGGGCTTCCATTTGGAGATTATTCCAAGGAAGATACTAGATATTTTAGTTTTGACAGATATTACACATCTTATCAGGGAGAACAGGCATTACTCATATAACCAGTTTTAAATCAGTGAGGCTGCAGTGAAACAATTACTATGGAGTTCTTGAGCATAGTTCCAAGTTCAGTGGCAACTCATTTTTGATTTTCAAAAATTCTGATTTGTTTTTAAACATCCATCTTTATGTGCCAGGCTGGTGTGTTTTCCCTGTGTTGAATTCGGTTAAAATACTGCTGCTTTCATGCACAATTTAAACATCTTTAAACAAGCCAGCCATTCCCTATAAATCTAGAGGCATTATAATGTAGCGTTTTATGATGACAGGTTACTTTATGTTGCCTGAGTCCATTCTTTCCCATGCTCAGGGTCGTTCAAGTGATTTGTAATTGCAGGCCTAAAATACATTATGTGGGCACTTTACTTCCCATGCGCTTCTGTTTCATCCTAAAGTAAGACTGGAACCAAGGCTCAGAAGAGGTACAAACATAGTGTGTAGCACACAGAACAAAGTGTAGGACTACAACAAATGCCAGCCAGCCTCTGCCAGACACATTTGATGATTTGTTAGGAACAAGCCTGCAGAGTTGAAAGGAAGATGAAGATGAAATGTCCAACACCTGGAACCAAAGGAAGAGTGGTATTAAAAAGTTTAATATCCTGTTTTTATGGATGTCTCCGCATTGTGGACAGTGTAATGGTTCATATGTGAGCCGGTTTCATTTGATGTGGCTTTTTTGTTGCTTTGCAGTCTGAGACACTCCTTTTCCCCCGAGACACCGAACTGGGGAAGGAGGGAGTGCATGGAGAAAGCTAGCAGCAGGGTCCTGTAGCCTCCAGAGTGATCACGTTCTCCCACTAGGTTTCAAGTTGCCACTGTAGTTTCTGATAAATAAACTACCTATTGTATGCACACTCCGCATTTATATTTTCTTGGACCTCTCATTTCCTAGAACTACCTAATGTTCATTTCCCTTGAGAACAGTCATTCCTACCTGTGAGTAAAAATAATTATAACCCTTATAACATACACCAACTTACCAATTTGTGACTATGAAGTGTTCCATTGTGTGTCTTTGGGTTACGGTTTTTAGATTCTCCTTCCATCACAGAACACTTTTGGCCCATCCCAAAATACACAAACAGTGGACATGCAGCCTTTTTATGAGTGACTTGTCTAATCAACTCTTTGAAATTATTTTTCTAGCTAAACAGAATATATCAGAGGCTACAACCACCGAATTGAATATCCTCGCAGAAACTGAGTCACACATTTTATCCAGAGAACCACAAATGGTCCTCGAAGGAACTACACCAGTCGTCCCTGTAGTCACTGAGTTGCCTGTTGTCACCACAGAGTTCCCTCCTGCAGGGAATATGATCAATTTTGAACAGAAAGCCTCGGTCCAAGCTCAGTCTGTCACAAACCAATTAACCATTGTCACACCCACCACTCCTGCTGAGAGTGCCAAGGAGCATGAGGAGATGGAATACTCCTCACCCTCTGCCTCTGGACCACTTGGAGAAGCAGATATATCTGAAATGAAGGAAGAAGTGCTCCAGATTACAACTGTCATCTCTCAGAGTGTCACTGATGCACAGGATGTCAGGGGAGACACTCAAACACAAGAATCTGTGACACCGGTTGAACAAATAGAAGTGGGTCCCTTGGTGACATTCATGGAAATCTCAAAGCACGCGCCTTCCAAGGAATTGTCTGTAACCGAAGCACCATTGGTATCCACAGAAATGAAACTGGAACCCAAAACTGAAGACACAACTGTAAGCACTATTCCTGAATTGGTGAGCACAAACCACTATGGATTCACTTTGGGAGAAGATGATAGTGAAGACAGAACACTCACAATGAGATCTGGTCAGAGCACATTGGTCTTTAGCAAAATACCAGAAGTTATTACAGTGTCAAAGACTTCAGAGGACTTGACATCAGTGTCAGCACCCACATTTGCTTTACCTGTGACTATGCCTGACCATGATGGATCAGCCACATACAGCTGGGAAGAGAAACAAACAAATGGTCCAGTAACTGAAGATACATCAGGCCAATCTCTCTTTACTACACCTTTTCCATTACAGCATATAACAGAAGTAGAATCGTTCCCTTACTCTGGTGATAAAATATTAGTAGAGGGAATATCCACAGTTATGCATCCCTTGTCACAAACAGAAATGACTCAAGGGAGAGAAAGAACAGAGACATCAAGACCAGAAAGAAGAACTGACACTTACACACATAATGGAATACAAGGAAAGGTCACCAAAGATCCGTTTACAGGTAACATGGAAGAAGAATTCTCTGGGATGAGGGTCTCTCCGTCTTCCTCAGAGCAAATCAGTGTTACAGAATCTTCTGTGGAAATGACCAAATCTTTTGATTCCCCAGCATTGACAAAAGCAGAGTTAAGCGTGAAACCAACAGAAGCAAGGGATGTGGAGGAAGACACTATGGGAACTCTTGGTGGATTAGAAACAGATGTCTATCAAGATACTCCCAAGGATGATGAAGATGTTACAGCTGCACATGTGACCCACAGTACTCTAAGTGTAGAGGTGGTCACTGTGTCAAAATGGTCACGGGATGAGGATAAGGCAACATTAACATTTTTAGAGTCCACAGAACAGACAAGCTCTCCAAAACAGCCCTCTGTCTTTCTTACCACTATGGGAGCAAATGGGAAGGATGAAGAATCCCCAAGTTTCACAGAAAATGGAAGAGATGAATTCACTCACTTTCCAGACAGTACTCAGAAGCCACTGGGAATGTTTACTGAGGAAGACTCGACAGATGATGGGAAATTCACAGTTACATTTCATCCAACTGCATCAATAGGTGTTGCAGAAAAGTCAACTTTGAGAGATTCTGTGACTGAAGAGAGAGTTCCACCTACCGCAAGCACAGAAGGCCAAATTGTTTTTGCCACCATGGAAGGAAGTACACTGGGTGAAGGAGAAGATGTAGATGTCTCTAAGCCACTGTCTACTGTGCTCCCATTTGCACATACTTCAGATGTGGGAGGATTGGCATTTGTGAATTACAGTAGCACCCTGGAGCCCACTACTTATGCAGACACTTCCCACACCATTCCTCTTCCGGTAATTCCCAAGACAGAATGGGGAGAGTTAGCACCTTCTGCTCCATCAGAAGGTGAGGTTCTAGGTGAAACCTCTCAAGACATACAAGTCATTGAACAGCCGCACCTGGAAGCAACTATGGTGCCTGAAACTTTGAGAACAACAACAGAGACCACGCAGGAAACAACTCAGGAAGAATTCCCTGAGGAAGAACAAACGGCCCGGAGACCAGGTCATGTTCTCACTTGGACAGTAGCTGGGCCCACAGAGGCAACAACGTGGCTGGATGAAGATGAGGGTGAAGAGTCAGCATATACGATCCCAGAGGATAGATTGGTGACAAGTGTTGAGAGAGGCCCAGTTTTAGAAACAACTCCAGTTGGAAAAATTGAGCATCCAACTAGTGCTTTAACTGAGGGCAAAGTGGGAGTGGATGAAATGGTAACAGTAATACCAAGCGTCAACCTGGAAGTATTTGTAAGTCCAGAGCTTGAAGAAAAATACGAAGCAGAAGGTAGTAGTCCAAGTGAATTCACATCACCTTCGAGCCCCTTCAGCACCCAGGTCACCCCGCTTATAGAGGAAATCACTACTGAAAAAAGGGAGAAAACATCACCGGATTATATTGATTCAGGCTCAGGATTATTTGAAAAGCCCAAAGCCATGGAATTACCACAAATTTCGACAACAAAAGCAGCAATTCCAAGTGATATCACTACTGCATTTGGTTCAGTAGATGGGTATCACTCACCTTCAGCATCCAAGCCCTCTTCAGCGTCCACTGAGAAACCACTTCTCATCCACAGGGAACCTAGTGAGGAAACCACTGGGGACATGGTGCTCATTGGAGAGTCCACAGCTTCCCTTCCTCCCGCTACCTTTGTTGATCTCATAGCTAAGGAAACAGAAGCCGATATTGAAAGAGAGTATTTCAAGACTACAAGTCCTCCTGCTACACAGCCCCAAAGACCACCCACTGTGGAAGGCAAAGAGGCATTCAGACCTCAGGCAATTTCCACTCTACAACCCCCAGCGGGGACAAAATTCCACCATGACATAAATGTTTATATTATTGAGGTCAGAGAAAACAAGACAGGTAAGTCTTTGCTTTCTAGACATACCTTTCAAGGCAATCAGAATTTTACATTGAAAGCTGCTTTTGGGAAAAAATAATCAACATTCCAAACGCTGTCATTAGAAGATGCCTGGAGTGTGAAAAAAAATGTATTAGCTGCATATATTTGTACAAGCATTGGAAGAATATGTTAAACAATTTGGAATAATGTTAGATACAGTGTTATTTTAAAAGTCATAAGAAGCCCTGCTTTCTCATCTAATATAACCAAACCATCATGTTACATCACTTCAGAACATGCAGAACAAAGTGTTTTAATTTCAGTGTCTTTCCATACATTACTACTCAAGTGTAGCACTAGACTGTGTTAACATTCCATCGGTCTGTAACTATTAACCTTTAGTACTTACAATGCAAACACCTAAAATGATTTTGCGTATGTCTAGGGTGAACAGAAAGACATCCAAAAGTTTGCCTTGGTTTTTCTCTTCCAGGATTTTATAGATTTATTATATAACTTGTGGGGTGGGCAATAAGTCTGTACTTTACATGTTATTTTGATGAAATTTGGCATATCCTTTACCTGTTCCTTTTGAATGTTTTCCCTGTGGCTTTAACTATTTAGAACAGATATAATCTAGCTTAGTTTCTAGGCATTGCTCTGATTGTATCAGACATAATTTCAGAAGGTAGATATGTAAGTATACCTTTGTGTCCTAACACCAGGCTATAATGTTTATATTATGACTTAACTTTTTATCTCTGGAATATTTATGCTGCCTTCTGTTTCACTCAAATATTTTAGCTCTTTGGCAGAAATCTTAAAAGCTCTTTGTTGAGAGTGATTAATATTGCAATTGTCACTATCAAACATCGCTTATTTTTGCCTTACTTTTTTTTACATTTGGTCAGCTGGGTTGAGAATATATAGCACATACAGTTCAATGAATCAATTCAGGTTTGCTTGTCTCTTTAATTTAGAAGTTAAGATAATTGATTTTAGCAGGTTACTGTATTTTAATTGATAGAAGCAGCAAATGAATAAACATCCATTTTTCCTTGACCTGGCTGTAAGAAGCCAGAGTGGAAAAACATCTTTTGACATCAGGGTTTCTTATTGTTGCAAGTCTCCACTTGGTGCATTGTTTCCTGAACAGTCATGCTTTCCTCAGTAGCACGCTCAGGAGTACACCTGTTGGGAACGGACAGGTGGCTTAATGTCAAGCTGTTTGGCATCCAGCGTGGTGAGTGGGAACGTCAGTGCTTCCTTTGGCCTCTGCTGTCCAGAGTGGTGTCAGTGCGTTCACGGGGCATGGGTAGCAGATAAGAGCATATCCTCCTAGTATGAAGAGTATTGATCTTTACTTCTCAGTAAAGAGGCTAGGCTAGGCTAGGAGCATGATTGTCTTGCTAACGGTGCTGTTTCTCGAAAACTGTAACGTGGTCCTCTTCTGTATTCTGTCTCTCAGAACTGAAGTAGAAAACAGAGGAGTTACCAAGAAGTGGGAAAAGAGGATTGCTGTTAGCAGAAGTAGAGAAGAGACAGGAAGATATAACTATTTAAAAAAGTGAAGGGAGAACTAAATTACCACAAATATTTCATTTGAGAATTTGAAAAGTATTTCAACTACTGTGTAGAGATTTTTCTCAATTTGCGATACTCTGTTGTCCATATAAATACTAAGTTGATCTGATAATATAAAACAGTAAACATGTTCTGCATCTAACAGCTCTTCTAAATGGGAAATTGTACATTAAGATTAGGCCAATCAATTACAAAATGGAAAAAATGAAACTCAGTTTTCCTAGAAAAGTTGGCTGTCATCAAGAAAAAAAATGACTTTATAAATGGTTACTTCAAACAGATCTGTGTAACCTAACCCTGAAACAGTTTATATGAAGGTGTGTATTTATAAGTGTGTGGACTTAATTCAGCTGGTCCTGGGAGACATGAATAAGTGTTTCCTTTCTTCCACTTTAAACCATGGGACCATGCTCCACCTTCAAACTAATTTTGTTTTTTGTTGATAATAATTGGCCAGAAACCTCTTTGGGGTACTTGGGTACCTGCATTAGGCAGGATTCCAGAGTGTGTCTGTGTGTGCTTGTGTGCATGTGTGTGTGTGTAGGAGGGTTAGTATCTCTAGATTAACCTATCATCTCTATTTTTGTGTGTTCTACATATGCTATTCTCCTTAGAACAAACAGCATTGTTTATTGTCTTCCTAAGACATTGAGCTCACTTACACTAATTTCATTTGTTTTGTTTGAGAAATTCAATTTTCCAACATTTTGAACTTTGGCAAGGAAAAGCCCTATAGCAGATGTACAATTAATGAGTTGTAAGGCAGGTGCATGTGTTAATAGGGGAAAGTGCACATATGCCTGGAAAGCCAACCTTTTACGTATCAAGGAACATTTTCCAGACTGGAAAATCTTTGATGCGTGTGTGAACTTGTATAAATCAATTCATCTGAATAGAAGTGACCTTTACATCTACTGTGTATCTATGTAAGCTAAAATACCACCCATGCTTCACTATGCCATATTCTTTTTCTGCACTCACCAAGTCATATAAATCTTGATTTCTTTTATTAATACCATGAAACAAAACATGGTACTCAGAACATGCTTATGCTGTATTTGCTGAAATGAGGTCTTAATAACAACTTAGGCTGCTGTTGCTGGAGGCCAGTGAGTTGGCAGTTAAGAAAATCTGAGGGAACTTTTCAGCTCATAAAAGTTTTATGAGCTGAAAAATGCCATGGGGTGTGTTTAACAGTGGTTCAGGGGATGTTGAAAACTTGACTCCTGCCTGTTTTAGGAGTAATTTGCACACCTGCAGTTGGGAAAAACATTATCGAAAGGTTTCTTTGTGAATGTGGATAAAGGCTTTATGGTTGGAAGGTGTAGGAAGAGTTTTTTTGATTCCAAATTTTTTTAAAAAAGAGAATGCTCCAATAAATCATCTGAAATGATGCAAGTTAATGTAACAGAATTATTAATGTTTTTAAAAACTAATATACCTGTATCTTTATGTCAAAGAATAATTTAGGGCTGTGTAGATATTAAATACCAACATTACTGTGACTTGCTTGATGGTGTCTTGTTAGGTGGTTTCTTACATTTTTAAAAAATGATTTTCTAACTTACATCTACCCAAATGTAAGTGTAAGGCAGGTGTAAAGCCGATACTAAACTGCAATAATTTAAAGATTGAGCTATGGATACAATTATTCATGTAATGATATTACAGAGTAGTTAGATTATGAGAAAATAGTAGTTGGTTTCTAAACTAGAACTCATTTTGCTCAGTATCTTTATGGAGAAGTGTAGTTCATTGTTTCTATCATTTTGAAATAACTCCCATCTGATTAATCTCCTCTACATTGTGTTTTTTTTTTCTTGGTACCGCTGGGGGATCGAACTCGGGTCCTTGTGCTTGCATAGCAGGCAGCGAAAACACTGAGCTAAATCCCCAGCCCTACATTGTTTTTATATGTCTGAGAAATTTGCATAAAACTAAAAGTTTATTTTCTGTATGCTGCGGTATTACAGGACATTGGCACTGAGTGCAGTGCTGTCTGGCAATCGCCCACATTTATGTCTTTGACTGTCCAGTCACTGCTCTTTAAAAGGTGACGCTTATGTAAGGTAACTCATGAAACAGTTTGTTGATATCGAAAATTTTTCATTTTTAGAGAATTTTAAAGAGTCTTATATAGGAAATTATTTTGAAATTCTTTTTATTAGAAGATCAGACTCCTTTCTTCAACAATCTCTTAGGCAGGGTCCCCATAGCTTCATAGAAGAGTATCTGTATTGATTAATATTTGAGGGGACAGACAGGAGCCTGTCTCTTGGAGTCTCTCCCTCCTCTCCTCTGGTACTTTCTAGAAAAATGCACACCTCAACGAAACAGCTGGAAAGAGAGTTGTATCATGTCAAGCAGAAATGTTGACTCATTCCTGAATGAACTGACTTTTTAAAGAAAAAATGTCTTTAAAATTGTTCTGGTTATCAATATTTTCATCCCAGTATAAGGATGTACACTTATAAACATTTACCTTTGGATAATTGCATTGCATAGTGCTAAGTAAATCCAATTCAGCAAATGTAGTTTCAGTCTGATTGGCACCTAAGTGGCAGCAGGAGAAGGCAGAGTTCCAGCTCAGAGTGCCATGTGTCTGTGTGGAACTAAGTCACCAAGCAGTCATCTAGGGCTCTCTGGAGTCCCCGACCACCTTTCCCATACTGAACACCTTTGAAACCCAGGGACAAATCTAGGGAAAGCAGGTGGGTGCACAGACATGCGGGGTCTACTCTCGGCACTGGGTCTAGTAGCCTCGGGGCTCTTGGGAGTATTTTTGTAGTGAAGGGACCTTCTCCTCTGATGAACAAAGAATGGGCACCCTTCCCTGCTGGCTCTCGTGCCTCCATGTCCACAAATTCCTGAAAGAGCTAGAGCTTTGGAAAGGCTGTTTTCTCAGCAGCTGCCCATTGATTTGTCAAGAGTATATGATTTCAGTGCAGGTACTGCTAATTCAGAGGACTATGCATGTCACACTCAGATACCTGGCACTGACAGGGAATAGTGTGCTGAAATTGGTAAGCTGCTGGTCCTACTCTGGGTCGCTTCTCTTGTGGAGAATTTTGGGGAACAGAAGTGGCCCCCTTTGCTGGGCTCCACCTGTGGCTTCCTGCCAGAAAAGTACTTTTGCTTTTCTGCAAGAAATTAGGATAGCTTTCCCCATCCTTCTTTGGCTGCCCTAAGTCTCAGAAGGATTGAGCTCTTGTTCTATCATTCAGATACTTTTAAGGTCAGAGATTGCTTATCTTCCAACTCACATGTAGAATGATGAAGACAGGAATTGACTTTAATGCTTCAAAATTATTTGGCTGGGGATTTAGCTCAGTGGTTCTGCCACCTGCCTCGCAAGCGCAAGGTCCCAAGTTTGATCCCTGGTACAAAGGAAAAAAAATTATTACTGAACATAGCACTGTACCGTAGACTAAGATTA